CCATCAACCAAATAAAACCAAACCCTGGAAGAGCCCTCACAAAAAGGTAAAGGGAGTAGGCAGTGACGTTTTTTAGTGTGTTAGCATGCTAAGAATCTTATCAATATTAATTTCTTGCTACTCAGAAGTTGAGTCCAGCTTATGTGTAACTTTGAGAGTAAGTTCCCTTAGAGATACTCGGGGGAAGCTGGCGTCGCTACTGCTGCGAAGATGTAAGTGCGAACCACCATATATTGGCTTTTGTTTTAATAGCCTTTTAACCAACTTTGTTAATGGACTGAATGCAATTTAGATATGGAACTTGGCTAAAACGTAGCTTCAATTGGCTATTAAAATTTAAGAGCCAACTAAGATAGCTAATTACAAAAAAAGCTCCAGTGATAATGCTAAGCAGAATTAGTAATAGCAAATGACAGTCTGTCTAGTCTTATTCCCATAGGGAAAGAAACTCTTAACTGAGAAGTCAACCAGACAATGTGCAGCAACCCTAATTGCATTACTGGTATTATGGCATACAAATCTGGCAGCTCACTGGGACAAAACAGTGTGTAAAGTCTGTCAAACTCAAGCTAGGAAGCAACTGACCCTCTTTTACATACCAGTTATAACAGATTCCAGGAAATTTTATTTCTATTCAGAGTTGATGGGTAAATGCTCTTTTCCTATAAAAACCTAGCAAGGACTGAGGAATAAGGATGGAAGAAAACAGACGCTCCAGAAAGCACAATTCAAAAGAAAAAGATCCTTCATCTATATAGAATTAGATTCTCCCTATAGATATTTAGGTCTAAAAAAGGCAACAATAAATATCTGACTGCTAAAAAGTTGAGCTTAGGAGGAAAAAATGTTCTACTTCTTTGCTTCATTACAGATACCCTCATTATGGCATCAGTTGAAGTGCAGACTAGCTCTCCTGTGAAGATTTATCATGTGTGGTGGCCACTTTGAATCGGAGGTACTGGAGTCTTTAACATTCCCTAGTCAAGTGTCTCCCTGCTGTGCCTGTAAATGTCAGTCCAGTTTTTTCACGGCTGCGCGCACAGATTAGAAACAGCAGGAGAGCTTGGGAGTATGACTACAATACCAGTAAGGACACTTGTCTTCGTGGCACTGCTCAAGTGATTCTTGGAATGCAGGACCCTGCTGTTTTCTAATATTTACACACAACTGGAGTCATCAAGAGCAGTAAATGCAGTCTAAAGGCAGCTTGCTTCTTTTGTGTTAGGGACTTTACATTCAAATAGGGATATCAACAATAACACCAAAAAATATTTTCTTTAAAGTTTCATATTTCCCCTCAATTTTGCTGCTACAAGAACAACCAGGTATTATCATAACTGTTCACTTAGCTTGACCCTCCCTTCAAAACACTTTCTATGTGCATCATACAGTTCATTGGGAACAGCAGGTGTTTTGGACTCTTGACCTCAAATCGTGTTTTTGCAGACTGTAGCTTCTCTGACCTCTACAGGAACAGACGGGGCCCTGGAAAACATTTTGATGTAATTTCAGCCACCTCTGCTTTCTGAACACTTTGCATGACATATCAGACTTATTTTGGGGACTGTAGCACCTGGAATACAGACAGCTTCAAAAGCTTGGTTAGGAATTAAAAAAAAGTGGGGGGGGGAGCCTTCTTTAAATAATATATGGCAGGGTGAACTATATTTTTTTGTCATAAGCTTTTAAATACCTGCTAGGGATTTCTGGACTAGAAACTTAGCCAGAGGTTTGGGGGAGGAGGAGGTACACAAAGACAAGATCATATACCTTTGCAATTATTAATAGAATGTTAAGCAGATTAGAACATGCAGGCTTCATACTTCTCCCGGTGAACTGACTCGGGTTCACACCAAAATATTCTGTAATAGTTAATGAAATAAATGAAGACAAAAGAATAAATTTTAGGTGTTTTTTGTAGGGTGGAAAAGGATTAAAATGCCCAGGATATGAAAGGTCTTCTTAAGGATCTTGAAGGCATATTTCTGTACCTTGAAAAGTTCGAGAAATATACTATTGGTCTCTTCACCAGGCTAATAGAATCACTTCCCAACTGTAACTTTCTAGTCTTCAGGTTCAGCACAACTTTTAGTTGCTCTACCCTGACTTTTGAGTATTAACACATATTAGTACCTTATGGGGAAAGTTTGACAAAGTGTGTAAAGGCCTTTTTCATGCCTGAGAATTATACCAAAGACCACCACGATCTGTACCATGATTTTTGCACAAGGCCAGAGAGAATACTGAATACAGCAATTTTTCCATTTATAAAGAAGTTGTTGCCCAGGTGTTATAAGGTTTCCATTTTACATAATTATGATCATTTTCACTTGCTTCTAAAAGGTATCAGAAGCAGAAAGACAACCTACAAAAAATGGAAACAGATTTCAGACTGCTGTCTTATTTCCTCCCCATTCCATACTCTGGATGCTCTCAAGCTCCTTCCTGCCTCTGCACCCCAGACACAAAGATGATCTAATAGATCATCTCCACTCATACTTCTGATACTTCAGAACATTCTAACAAACATTGGGCTTAAGTTAAAAAGAGAGTTTTTTTTGAAAATCATTTGCAGTGGAAATAAAACTAAATTTACTTAATGTAGTTTTATAGGTAACTTCATGATGAGCCAAACTACAAAAGTCAGGAATGATCTTAAGTTGCAAAATATTATGCCATAATAAAAGAAAACTCACCATTATATGTATAAACACACCCTTAGTACAGTGGAAATGGTAAGCACTTTATTTGTATAATAACACACAAGTGATAATGAGAATTATCTAAACCATATGGTCAGCAGTATACTGCAGAGGATTACTAATATAATGTATGAGGCAATATGTATATAAAGACCCTTTTACAAATAATTCTTTAGTGTGTCTTGTACTTTCTATATAAGTAGAACTTAATGAATGAGCGGGTTACAGAATAACCTGTAGAACTTAAAAAAAAAGCACTATAAAATTTTATCTATGCAACTATTGTAACTATAAGAAGTTAGGCAGACATGAAAGAAGGCTAAGCATAACATAGCCAAAGAACAAGAGTTTGATTTCTGTAGTGGTGGCAGGACCATAAGTGAATTTTTTTTCTTTCATTTTGATTGCTATTAATATGGTCTGGGCAATAACTAAGAATAAGTAAAATGGCATTAATTAAATCAGTGTGGTGCTGGCATAAGCACAGATCAATGAAATCGAACAGATAGTCCAGAAACAGACCCTGGCATGAGAACTTAATATGTAATAAAGCAGGCATCACAAACCAGGGTGGAAGAGGGGTGGGAGAGATAATTTATTTAACAAATGGTACTGGAGCTACTGGTTAGCTGTTTGAGAAAAAATCCATTGTGATCCCCATCTCATGGCACACATATACCAAAATAAATTCCGTATGGATTGAAAATTTAGAAACATTACGATCGACAGCCTAGAAAAAGTCACAGTAAATACTTCTTATTTCTGGATGGAAAATATTTTAAAACAGTGGCAGAAAATACAATGAAAAGATCAATAGATTAAAGCCATTAAAACTAAACTTCATAAAAATAAAAAATATATCAACAAAAAATAAATAGGAAAAAGTCAGCAACAAACAAGACAAAGGGTTAAGGTCAATACTATACATAAGCAATACATACAAATAAACCAAAGAGAAAATAGAGTTTACAAATAAAGAACTGTTCAGGTTCACTAGCAATCAAAAAAAATTTACCTTATCAAATTATAAAAATAAAACTTAATATCTTAGTACATTTGGGCTGCTATAAGAAAAATACCATAGACTAGGGTGGCTTAAACAACAAACACAGTTCTGGAACTGGGAAGTCTGAGAACAAAGTATCAGCAGCTTCTATCCCTGAAGGCCATCTTCCTGATTTGCATATGGTCACGTAACAGAGACATCATCTCTCTCCTGTCTCTTCTTATAAAGGCACTATCCCATTCATGTGGGCTCCACTAATCACCCCCCTAGAGGCCCCGCCTCCAAATACCATCATCTTGTGGGTCAGGCCTCAACATATGAACTTTGGGGAGTGGGACACGAACATTCAGTCTATAACCCTCAAGGATGACAAAAATTTAAGTTGGGTACTCTGATTTACTGGGGAAAATATTAAAATAGATTTTTGCAAAGCAATTTGGTAATACACATCAAAAGCTTTCCATTTCATAATCTTTGACCCAGTGGTTCCCTTTTGAAAATCTAGGAAAATATTCATACATGTTGACAAAGATTTCTGTCCAATTTTGCTTAAGAACATTGTTTATAATATCCCCAAATTGAAAACAACTTAAATGTCCAATATTAGGGAAACAGTCATGAAAGTAACATAAATCTGTAAGATACCATGGAAACATAAAAGTTGTGTTCATATAGTATCTGTAATAACATGAAAAGTATTTGTTAGCTTTAAAAAGTAGACTATAAGATTTTACATACAGTATAACTATTTAAAGATAAAAATACACAGAAATGACTGGAAGAGAATGGGTAAAAATATTAATAGTGGTTGCCTGTGGGTGGTAGCATTATGGCTTGTTTGTCTCTTGACATTTTTCTGTATGTCCTAAATTTTCTACAAGGACCATATATTAATATACCTTGATGATAATCAGAAGAATACAGAGCATTAAAAATAGAATTTTAAAGAACAAGCATACAATGCTCAACTGTACATATCTAGATCCATACAAATACATATAAATTTATATTCCCACCACTAATTTATTACTATGTAACTTTGGGTCTTATATGCACATTTAATTTAGTAATTTAAAAAATCAGTGGTTTATAACTCTGGCCTGTTAGTGTTTGATTTGTCTTAAGAGATCACTATGGAAGAACACCTAGAAGCTACTTTACTTTAGGTTTTAGTTAGTGAGTTACTGAAGATTAGTTGCTTTCTAGAAAATGTAGAACATATACAAATCCTGTTGAATGAAGGATAACAGCCTGGCAGAGGTGCCGATCGACAACAGACTGGAAAGGCTCAGTTCACTAAGGACCTAGGAAAACAGCAGGGAAGGCAGAACACAACTGGGACAAGAACACATTAGAACATGGAAGCTGCAGGGTGAAGGGAGAGGAGAGAAGGCAAATCCACTCCATTCAGGGATTGAAAATAAAAGAAAAACATTTCAAGATAAAAATAATAAATATAAAACTGAAAGGGACAAGAAAAAAATGCATCTCTGAATGGCAAGGAGATTGCTTAACCACAATAAAGGAAGTAGGAAAAAAATAGTACAAGGCAGAGAACAAAAGAATAGTAGAACAAGGGACACAGCTGATGAATCAAACTGGCCACTGTGGCTAGTAGTTTGTTATTAACTTCTGTAGCCCTGCCAATACAGTAACATTCAAGAAAATGCCAGCACTTGTTTGAAACAATATGTGAGGAAATATTTGTTTTCTTAATATTTAACCAACAGGTTTTGCTATGTTTTTGTGTTTTGAAAGATAAAAAAGGCTAAGACATATACACAAAAACATATCACACACATTTTTTCCTATTTTAAGCATCAATGTGTTTAAAACAGAACTTGAAGTGTTACCAATAAACTTGGGATCATAGCACCAATGAGTACCAAAATCCCACATTCTACAAAAAGCTGGAGGAATGTCTCCCCCAAATCTAATTCTCTATTCTATAAGAAAGACACATAACTCTAGAACTTCAGGAAGCATTAAAAGATTAACCTTCAAAGGAAAATCTGTATATGTGTTTCTCATTTTTCAGTATCTGACCATTACAGTGATAAATGTTTCACATAACAACTAAATATCCACATCAGAAGGCCAAAAGTTTTAGTCTGTGTTGGTTCAGCATTTCTCAGACTTGGTACAACCTTGACAATGTCTGGTAAGCCAATATCCTCCCTTTATTATTTTCTTAATATTTTCTTCAAACTAACTTTTTAAAAAGTGAAATACCTACTATAGATTTAATCACTAGTTTAATGTACTAGCTGTATTTTGACTACATATTAAAATACTTAAATAGGTAAATAAATCTGTGTCCATGTAACACCTAAAAACATTGTACATGCTATACATGGTAAGGTGTGCTGGCTACTAGAAAATATATTCCAATCCCAATTTCTCTGACAAAGTAAATTCTGAGGAATGTATCTTGAAACTTTTCATAAATATATTAAAATTCCAAGCTCCTGTGCCTAAGGCAACTAAAAAAACTTCACATCTTAAAAATTTCTCATCATTAAAACTCTAAGGTGCTTGGTTTACTGTACAAATATTATATGCCATAAAAACAAAACTTGCAAGAAAAACAATCTCCTGGGAATGAACAGGCCATATATATGTCTAGTTCACAGGACTTACTTAAAAGAAGCCAGTCTTTATAGAATCTTTGCCACCGCTTGATAATTTATCACCTGTTTTCTTATCATACAGCTTGCATACTTATGTAATTCTTACGTAATCTAACTCTCAAATATGTACATTTTCTCTCTCACAGACATACATACTCCATTTTTTCTTTCATATTCATTTCCCTTCTTTGTACCACCTGTCTCATATAGCGGGTGCTCAATAAATGTTTATGGAATAGAACAAAATCAATACAAATCAAACCTTATAACCATAACAAATTGTGTATTTGTATCAAGCAAATGAGATCTTTATTTTAAGTTTTGGATTTCCTTAAAAGTGAGGACTCTGTCAAACATTTTTATCCATTCTGGGAAATGTACAACAATTAGCAAAGTACGTATCATAGTAATTTTTCTTGTATGTCCTTCAAAACCTCAAACATAGCTTGAAGTAGCTTAAAGAGTATAACCTGAAGATTATGAAATTTCATAAATTAGCCTTTAATAAATTGTACAAAGTATTTTAATAAAAAAGTTTGTTTTCCGAAGACACTGGTATTTAATTACTATTCCCACCCCACAAGACTCACATGAAAATAAAACACTTTAAACAGAAAAGGAGAAAAAAAATCAAATGAAAAGGAAGAAAAGTTCAAATTCACAGCATCTGAATTACTTCTGGACTCTCTTTCTGGTTCTTGAACCTTGAAAAAAAATCAAAGAAATGTAATCATGAATCAGTAATTTATAAAAGCAAAAGAACAAAAAACAGAAATATTCCTATATACAGTTAATATTTAAAAATCTAACTGACTGATAAGCTTGCAGAGCTTATGAAATTTGCACACAAAAGTACAGTTATATACCATGCAAAATCTTAGAAAATTTTGTCAATTTTTAATGTCAAAAATTATGCTAATAAAGCCTACTTTTTTAGCCATATAAAAATTCTTAAATTTTTAAAATGTATCTAATTTACAGTGATAACAAAATATTTCTCCCCAAAATTTTTACTGTAAAATTTAAAACACTAACACCAAATATAAATTGTGGCGATAAAAAGCATTTATTCCTTGGGAGAAGCAACAAGGTTATGCATATAAGAAAAGCAAGGAATTTTATTCTAAATGAGTTTCTTTTTACAGTCTATTAACTATACTTTTCAGGCAGAAGAGCACTAGGCTATTCTAAAATGTAAAGTCTTTTCCACTAGGAATAATGTAGATCCAAACTTAGTAGCCTCCTAGAAAAGCATCACATCTGAAACTGGTCTAAGTCTCTATGACAATTCTCATCCAACTCTTCTTGGTTTAAGAACAAATCAGAGATTCTCTATTGGGAGCATGAGAATTCTGACTCAGTAAGGAGGCTTTTCCCCTCAACCACCACCACCCCCACTCCACCTCCAACTCTGAGCACAGCAGAGTCAGACGGATATGCCTGATCCCAGCTGCCTAGTGCTGGCAAGCGAGGTGTGGCCATTTCCTTCCCACTGCCTCATGCTGCACTCTGCCAGGAACGAGCAGGGGCACCAGAGTGGGGGACTGTGAGATGCCCATAACTAATCAATGACCGAACTAAACAAAAAAGAGATCAACATTTCTTTTCTGAAAAGTACAAAGCATTCTTTGAATTAGGCACTAAATTTCTACCACACATTGTGTAATAATAAACAGTCTCTAAAGGTTTTCTGATTAAAGGTTTATTAACTGGAAAGTCAGTTTAAAAAAGCGCTTTTTATTTTTCCAAGTTATAGTTTCTATTTCATTGTCATACAGTTCAATTAAAGCAAACTTCAGACTTATATATATGAATATCCTTTTTCCCTGCTACTCATAATACGTAACTATAAACTATGATTGATTTAAAATTTTGTGGTTTTTCTCCAATTTTTGTGATGTGGCCTTCTATTAAAATATCCCAAGGTAGATTTTGAGGTTTTTATTTCAATAATTTTGAAATTAATTCTACACACAAAACTGAAAATGTGATAATGAGACTGGCATAATGAGCTATCACAAAATCAAGGCCAATAATCAATACTATAATACACCTCCCTTGCGGTATATTTCTGAAACTGTAACATTACAAAAGACATTAAAGTAACAACAACAGAGCTATATTAAAATAGCATTATTCTCATTAATGTCCTAATTTGATATTTTACTCTTAAATACCATTGCTGCTTTCCCCTCTTCAATCTAAAGTTTCTTGCTGCAACTAAAAATGCTATCACTACCTGAAATTTATTATATAATCAGTCCTAAGCACCTTGGAGACTTTGCTACATGCATCAATATTTTCCCTAATAATCACTTCTAATTGTTGCAGGAAAAAAAATCTATCTTCTTGTCTCTTCAAAATATAACCATTTTCATAACACATTAGTACTGGTAAAAGGTCTAATCATAAGACTAATGTATATATTAATAATTTGACGTTTGAAAAATAACATATACAAGTTTGGGATACTCCTATGATTTTATCACGCAGAAGAAAAAAAACAAGTGGGAAATTTCTTTGCATGGTGCCCTTAAAAATATCTGTTTCTTGACTAGTCATGCTTTCCCCAAAGATTCCTCGGGAATGGTCCCAAATCCAAGGGGATAAGCAGCAATGATATTTAATTTAAGAGTAAAATGTCAACTTAGGACCTTAATGAGAATAATGCTATTTAAATATAGCTATTTAGTGTCCTTCAAACATTCAAAAATAACACCAACAAGAGTAGTCTTCATTTTATCAACAGGAGGGACTAAGTATACTAGCCATAAATATCATGTCTATATTAACTAATTTTTAGCACAATTCGAAAATATTGGCATGGTTTTGAAATGCCAGACATGCATGGTTTTTTAAGGCTTATCATTTTGTGAGGGGGAAAAATTACTTGCAGCAAATAACCAAATTTTCTCAATTGGTAAAAATTATGCCTTGCATAAAAATAAAAGGATTAGAGGCCTCTGTTCTTCTTGAAAACCACCCCATCACCCCCTCTCTTTCTTTGAGAAAACCCTACACAATACACATTTTGAAAGCTTTCAGAATGTGTTCTTACACAATAGACCCCCAACTATTCAAAATGAGTTTAGGTGTATCAAGAAAATTATACACGTTTTTAAAATGGTCTAAATAGATATTAAAGGAAAGTTGCTCCCATTTTGCTAGGCATAGCATTCTGAAAGATCACACAGTGAGAAAAATCTCTTACCATATTGTAAATCATAAATTGTGTTTGAAAATAAAATTGTTAATGAAGAAACTGACATTTCTAAAGCTGCTGTTAGAGGTAACCATTCTTGAAACACGTTTATGACAAAAAATCTTAAAGCCCTAAAATACAGAGCTCCCTGAACTGTATTATATATTTCTTAAAAATTAAAAAAATTGAAATATAATAATATTTCATCTCCTTCAAGTTACTTTAAACTGATGAATACAAAAATATACATTTATAGGAATCCTTGGCTTTTTCTTTTTTACTGGAAGCAATAACATTTTACTATCTCAGGTAATATATCTCTCATTTATGAATATTTTGATAGTAAAATACCTTAACTAGCCTTGTACTTTAGGGGGAAAAATTGCAATGGGAAAATAAACAGCATTTAAGTAAAGCATTTCAGAGTTTATATGAATAAGGGAGATTCTGATTATTTATATTCTTAAAAAGTTATGTCAAAAAAAATCTGAATTGGTCTCCTTAAATTATCCATGAATCTACTCTCTTTTGTCATTAATAAAATAAGGAAAGTACTAACATTTTCTCATGGGAAAAACCATTAATAGGGGACCTTATATTAAAATTTTAAGTATAAAAAAACATTTTCATAATTATATTAGAATTTGAAACCATTTATCTATCAAAACAAATACCTCTGGTGCTCATTAGGCAAAGTTCAGGTAACAAATGACATCCAGGCAGTAAAGAGAGACATGAGTCTTCCCCATGCACAGCTGTGACTTCGCCTTAGACTTAATGGGTATCAGCCTTACTAGGACGATGGAGGACCTTTCCTAAACTAAAATTGACAGTTTTAAAATTTAAAGGATTTTTTTAATAGTAAGAATATTACTCTATCTTTATAAATGCTCCTTAATTTTGTTCCCACTCACTGTCATAGCTGCTGCTGCTAGCCTCTGGCTGAGACATGCTTCGATGTATTGCTCCTTGGGACTCCTCACTTCCTAATAACAAAATGAACAAGACGGGAGCAGGGGAAAAAGACAGTAGCGAATGGAAGAAGGCAGCAGAAAAAAAGAGAGGGACTACTTCAAAACCTTTAGCCTCCAGAGTGAAGTTATATATTCCCTATTCAGGTAAGACAAGTATTCTTTGTGTAAAAGCAGATAAACCTAAGGATGTCCTACCCACAATATGTAATGAAGAAAATGTTAATAAAATCAGGGCAACGATGATTCTCTCTCAAAAAAGCCAAATACCTTGCTTTCCACAAATATGCATCAATGCCACTGTCAAAGCCAAGGTAAAATACATTACTGGCCTTACTCAATAGGGCACTTATGCTTTAATAAAATTTTTAACAAAAATAAGCCTTTTTCCATTAAAAATCAAAAAATATTTCAGGATCAACAAAACAGTAAATAAACAAAAGGCAGACCAGAGAGAAATCTTTATTAAGGAAAAAAAAAAAAGCATTGTGGACAGCACCGCACTGAATCTCTCCTCATTGAATCAAGTAAATCATACCTTAGAAAACTTGGAACACACTGACTGGCAGTTTATTAAACATACCAAAGTCCAACCTACTTTTGTCCTTTCTAGATGCTGCCTTTGCTAATGTCATTTCTGAAACTACTCCATTATTGGAAGTGCCATCAATCCCAGTTTATAAGCCATATAAGACACTTCATACTTGGTTTTTCACTTCAAGAGCTTTGGAAAGTGATTAAGTCAAAGTTTTAATTCCTTGCCCCTTAACTTGTTCAGAGAAAAGAGGAGTCGGCAGACTTTATGGGGAACAATCAGGCAAATGGAATTTGGCAGTTGCTATAAGCTCATGTCTGACTCCTGACATCCACTATCATACCAGAGTCATGTGAGATCAGCATGAGCAAGAAAAAGACACTGGCCTCAGAGTTAAGAGTTCTGGTCTCTACCTCTAATCTTTTCATAGTAGCTCTATCATTTACTTTGTTTTGTTTTTTCTTTTAGAGATGGCGTCTCTATGGTGCCCAGGCTGGACGTGAACTCTTGGACTCAATCAATCCTCCCACCTCAGCCTCTTGAACAGCTGAGACTACAGGCATGCACCACCACGCCTGGCAGCTCTGTCATTTAAACACTCAGTGGCTTGGGCTCCAAATTTGCAAAATGAGGCTACCTCCCCAGTCCCAACTTCCTGATTATTGTGAAGAGTAAATAACATAATGTGTGTACAAAAGACACTGTGATACATACTATACGAATATAAGATCTTATATGATATTTTCTTATAAAACCACAATGTTATGACCCCTCATAGTTAACCCCTCATCTAGTGGGAGGAAATGAAATTTGTGTCTATCTATGGAAGAAGAAGTTAAGCAAAACTATTCAACTTACGGGTTTGTATGGCCTCCTCTGTCTGTGTATTTGAGCATTCCATATCTTCAACACTAGATTCTGTGGTTTCTTCAATTTCTTTCTTTCGCTTCTTACACATAAAAATTTAAGAAAGAGAGAGAGAGGGAAACAGGGATGTAGTCTGATGGTTAAATAAGTAAATATACAAACTAACCACATGGTATATATAAATGTACATAGGTATAGTTATGTTAAAACATATAAGAAGAATATCCATAAGTTCAGGATAGTGGTTAAGTAAGGGAAGGGATGAGAGATGGAAGAAAATGGGAGTAAGAGAACTTTCAATTATACAGTTAGTCTGGATGGTAGGTATATTTGCTGCATCTACCTCTAACTTTTCATGCTTTATGTAGTTCATCATTTAAAGATATGTTTTAACCATCATGACTGACCATACAGAAACTCTCTTTTAGGCCAGGCGCAGTGGCTCACGCCGGTGATCCTAGTACTCTCAGAGGCCGAGGCAGGAGGACTGCTTGAGCTCAGGAGTGCAAGACCAGCCCTAGCAAGAGTGAGGCCCAGTCTCTACTAAAAACATAAAAAAAAAAAAAATAAAATACTACTACTACTACTACTAATAAAAGAAGCTCTTTTTTAAAATAAAGTGTTTTACAAACTTGCTATCCCCCACCACTCACTCAGACCAATGATACTTACAATGTGGGTGGGAGTACTGGGAAGAGAATAATCTACTTGATAAATGGAAAAATATAGCCTCACCCTGTTTATTATATAACTGGTTGTACACTGGTGGTAAAATTCTATTCATCAATCAATAATGGCAAACTTCTAATAAATGTTTCTCTTTTGGCATACCTTTTTATTAAAAGTTTACGAGGGCCATAAGCCTTACTGAAAATGAATTGCCTTAAAAATACAAAGCACCCCTAAAATCCCCAAAACCATTTGAATTTCCCACCATTTTCTCAGGCCTTTCCTATTTTTCTAGTGGAGTGTTATTTAGGAGTTAGTGCCTATATTCTGTAATTATCCATTCTTCCCAAATATTCGCTCAAGTTCATTTTATTACTTTCTAATACTACAACATTTTCTAACATATCCAGTCCTGTGTAAAGTTTTAAAATTCCTTAACATCTCTACATATAAGTATAATTAGAAGAACATTAGTAATAAATATAAGACTTTTTGTATTTTTCATAACTTTATCCCCATGTAGTTTTAAACTTAACTGGGTTAAAATCCAAATTTTAATTCAAAGTTTCTGTAGGTTGCCTAAAATAAATTTGCATTATTTAGAAAACCATCTGATATGTCCCAAATTTCACAGATTCACAAAGTAAAAGAATGTCCTCATTTATATATTCTAACAATTAATAAGTTAAACTTCATCTGAGCATGTTCCTTGCTGCAGGCCATTTTGTATACAGCTAGGAAAGAGGATAATACCTGCTGACAGCACACTATTCTTTGTCCTAATGGCAACCATGGGTTCTGTTCCAAAGAGAACTACATGGGAAAGCTGAACTCTACTCAAGCCATATTATCTTAAAATCTCCAAATGGTCAGAACTGCTATTACATATGTATTACGATTAATCCCACTGTTTCAAAAACATTCTTAAGGTGGCTATGTAAAGATTAGAACTTGGAGATACCTACCATGTTCTTAAAGAAAATGCTTCACATACATAAAAATAAAAACGTGACTAAACCTTCAGAAACTTTAAAAGGCATTCATTTAGCAGATTTATATATGGAGGTACTGCTTCTCAAAAATAGCTCTAAGAGTGGCTATAACTTCATATAACTGATGAGAGAAGGGAAGAGTGCCTTACATCTTTCTTTTCCAAAGTGTTGCTTCATGATTACCATCTAAACCCTGCTGGGCTGAACAGATTGGTTCGATAATTACATACAATAACTGCAGTGGGCAGGTAACCCTCAGCTGGCACAGGGCAGCTCCCCTGTGAGAACTTCCATATGCAAACTGCACTGATGGAGTGCATTAGGTACATCTTTCCTGCCGGTGCACAGGCCTGATTAACGCCAGCCAAGACTCCAAGGTTAGCATGTCAGCAGATTTGTGATGCATTAGGCAGGAATAAACACAGACACTTTTGTTCGTTCAGACCAAAATTAAGGAGGAATATTTCAGTACTATATTGTTTTCCATACAGGAGAGAATACATTTTCCAGTTTTTAGAGGGCAGATTTTTAAATGCTCATTATAAAGGGAGCTAGCTATCCAATACATTCTACCCAAGAACCTAGTGCATTCATCTTATTTTCAAGCTTATTTAATAAGAAAGGAGCTTTCTTAATCTCCATGCAGGTAAATTACATAGGAATGAAAATCAGACAGTATTCAACCAACAAAAGAAACACCTGTGCTTTAAGCGGATGCATTAGGTAAAGCACTGAATTGCATTAATCCACACTTCAGCCAGGTACCTCCTGCCCAACTTTTCTGATAATGTATGTAGTTTGGATAGAAAGGGCCAGTGGTTTACAGACCACCAATTAAAAAACAAAACAAAACACAAACCCTTCAAGTTTAAGAGTTTCTAAGTATATTATCCATTTTATAAGGCAATAAGTAAAATTCCAAACAATTTGCTACCAGCTTCTTCCTTCTGAATATTTCCAAATGCTTCATTTTGTTATTTGCAACATCCTTAGGCTTCAAATAGTGCATATTTTGGTTCCCTCTGAACAGAAAAACAGCTTCACAAAGTGACTATGCTAATCTCTGATTTTGTCATATTCTATACCAAGTCTCACAGGTACCTTTGTGTTTATAAATGAAACCAAAATATTGTACGACATACAGAATAACTTATAAATAAACTTAGAATAGGGTTTTCTTTTAATTCAGCACAGCTAAAAGATATTCAAAAAATTCCATTTATTCCAAAGGGCATTAATGTATGTATTACACATTTTTGAAATGTCCAGATACGCTAGTCTGAAATTTAGGTTATTAGCAGCTTCTCACTTCCAATTTAGAAACAAACAGGAAGACAAAAAGGCTAGATGCATTTGGACTGGTAATTTACTAATGGTATAAACACTGACTGGATCCCAGTCATAGACTTAAAGCTGTTTCAATGAAAAAGAAAATAAAATGTTCAGAGGCAAAAAGCAAAGAGCAATTCTTTGCTTCCTAAATAAAACATCAAAAGATCACTGCTAGATGCTTTCAACAGCCTCTAAGAAAAGCCAGATTCGTGGCTGTATCCAGAGAAGATGAGTACTGAGACTATGTTGGGGTTTTCCCCATCCCTTATTATAAAAGTTATACATGTTTATTTTAGAAACTTAGAATATGCAGCCTAAAGTTTTAGAATGTCTGGTATTGCACATGGGTCCAAGAACAAAGGACTCAAAATACAAAATGTGACTGCACTAATCAGTTAATCTTATTTATTTAAGACCACTTAAAGTCACTATGCAAATGTACACAATTTACAAATTACTATTACATTCCTTAATAGCAACTAAAAATAGAATATCAGTTACTCAGTAGTAACATAAAAAAAAGATAGGACACATTTTCCATGAAAGTAAAGCAAACACATATACTACACAACAATATTTATAAAAGTAGTAGATTTAGTTAAGATCCACTATATAGACAGCAAAAACTAAAGGTGAGGACAGAAGAAAGCCAAAGAGAATTTGCTCAGTGTTTCTTGGCTGGTGGTATTAAAAGGACTGGAACTCAGAGCTCTTTCTCTGTATTACAATTACTTTTCCACAGAACTATGCTGCCTCCCTATGTGACTTTTTAGTATGAAGCAGCAATTTATAGGTGCTGTATTACTACTTTAATGCATATTTTTCTGAAGAGTTATAGCGCACATATTGGTGTGCTTCATGTAGACTATTTCCATGCCCCTCTCTATTTCTCTCCTACTATGTATGCTAACTGAGGGCAAGGACTATGGTTTTCTTTATTTTTCTAACCCTTGATGAACTTAGCACAGTATTTTACACATAAATATTTATAGATAGGCACCTATAGAGCAACTATTCAACTACTATTTGTAATAAAGAGATGATTTCATATCTTACCCCAAGTCCCTCAAAAACTATATGATATTTGAATGGACATTAAGTAATTATAGATATGTTTTAAGAAAATGCAGGAAAAGGTCGGATATAATTAGAAGGAGAAGAAATGAAAAGATGAGAAGAAGGTTAGGAAATAAGTGACTTAAAAAGGAACAGATGAATTTGAAGAATTATCTAAAAATATTCCGCTAGAATGCATTAAAGTGATTTACTATTTCAAATGAGTTTCAGTGATGAAGACTGTAATAAGAATAATGAATATTGCAATTTCCTTCCACAATAGCATTGACCTCCATCTGAACAGAGGTGATGATCACCACCACGTACTTACTAAGCATCTACTGTGTGCCTGGCACTGTTACAGGCTTCATTCTCAAGCTAAAAAACAGACACTATAAAATAGATTAAAGCAAAAGAGTAATTTCAGCTTTTATAACATTAAACACACACATTCAATTTCTATAACTATTTGTCTTGATGTAAGCCCTACAAGAAATCCTTTCAGCATTCCATAAATGAGTATTCTTAAACAAGTGTCCAATGTAATCCCACTTATATGGAATTTAATTCCATGAAGTATTAATCCATATGTAAATTTAACACACATATGACTAGATAGTCAACCCTTAATTTTGTTTTTTGTTGTTGTTGCTTATTTGTTTAAATTTAGATCTCTCTCTGTGAACACCTAGTTATCTACTATATAGGTAGGAAAAGGAAGTACAATTCAAACAATTTTGCTAATTATTAGTAGGTCTGGGGGAAAGAGTTTAACAAAAGAAAATGTTTAAGTACAAGGCTAACAAAGTTTAGAATATCTATGTTCATTAGTTCAAACCATCCACTCTTATAATACTATGAGGAATTAAGTTAAGATTTTACTGTAATTATCTGAAAATGGTACACCAAAAATTACTAATTCATGTGAAGTGTGCCAAAAAATGGTAGATACTGTCAGAATAAATAAATGAAAAAAACCTCAATTTTATCTGATTGGCTATCAGGATTGACTGTTCCATGGACAATACATTTC